AGTACATGCTGATTTGTTTTCCTGATTACACAGTCCATGCTGATTTGTTTTCCTGATTACACAGTCCATGCTGATTTGTTTTCCTGATTACACAGTCCATGCTGATTTGTTTTCCTGATTACACAGTCCATGCTGATTTGTTTTCCTGAGTACACAGTATTGAAAGAAATTCCTCGCTAAGTACTCTCGACGAGATATAATCAACCTGACTAAGTTTTTCACAATCTATATTACACTTTACATAATTTATGAAACCACTTTAACTACTGCCATATATTGTTAAGAGCTCAATAATTAAGATTTAGTAAAACGTTTCATAAAATCTACTAATAAAAATAATGTTTTTCCTTTCATTGTGTTTCTTTAATGAACAATAAGTGATATAATATTCCAAGAACAACTGCTTAACTTGGGGAATCGTTATGAGAACTTGAAACGCTGTAAAATGAAGGTACTACTGGCTGCTTAACGCCATCATATCTGCTGTTTATAGCATTTTTGATATCAGAAACTAGCAGTGTTAATTTCTATCATCTTGTCTCTTTCCTCCCTCTTTAGGAGAATGAGATTCTCCCGTGGTCTCGCTGGTGATCAACTCAAGCAGATGCTTCTCGTGGGTTGGGTGCGCTCATTTATAGCGAATAACAGTTATGTTGGTTACCGCACACAGAGCGGGAAGTAAATACATTGTAGGGTTCGCCGTTTCATTATATTATACGATATAATTTCGCCAGATGTGTTTTGGAATTAATTAATTCAGTTCAGATGTGTTTTGGAATTAATTAATTCAGTTCAGATGTGTTTTGGAATTAATTAATTCAGTTCCTATTTAGCCTGATGTGTTTTGGAATTAGTTAATTCAGTTCCTATTTAGCCTGATGTACTCTGATGGTGAAGAAATACATAGCACCGCGAGTGACAACTCGAGAGGTGGACAGCTACAGCGCTTATCACCGTCTTTTTCCGTATGTAATAATAGTCATTTAAGGAAACATGGTCCGAGAATAATTACCGGTGTCAGAACAATCACCTTGGATTGATAATGCGCAGTGGTATAAGGTTTACGAAGAAACTATAGAGCTTTAAATGTAAGTGTAGTTTCTTGTTTTGTTTTCGTAAAATAGTTGTCAGATAAATCCATTTAACAGAATGATGATGAATTTAGTTAACTTTTAAAAAAAACATCTAGTTTAGTAATTACACTTAATACTATCTGAGTATGCTCAAAACGTAGTATATTACTCAATACCACTTTATATTATTTTTCGGTTAATAAGATTTTTGGAGCTACATGTATTACATATATATGATGAAAAAGTAGACCTAATATCTACCAGACGATGAGAAATTGAAATTCAACACTTATGTATAATATGGTGAGAGTTAAAACTGGAAATAACAATGAAGCTTTGATAAATGCAACAAACAGAGAAAATGTAAAAATTGTCAGGATAAAACTTCTTATGCGATCAAGTTGCACATGCATACCTATAGAAGATACTGGCTTCCGAAACATGAATTTTTTATTAAATAGTTTGGTACGAACCAACGTTTATTATCTATAGATAAATTCTAGAGCTTTGGATGACAACGTATGCTCATATGAATAAAACGTTTTAGTGGTATATAACTGATATGGCTTTAAATCAGAAGATCTGACAGAACTACTCTTGTTAAAAATGACGCTCTTTAAATCAGCAACTTAAGAATACTAGAACCTTTTAAAAATAAGATTAATAGCGATAGATAATGAGCAACAAATGTTCAGCTATTTAATGTCTCGTTTAGTTCGAGCAAGTCAAGTTTACAGCAACACATGTTCAGTTATTCAATGTCACGTCTAGTTTGAGCAAGTCAAAAGGTTTACAGCAACACATGTTTAGTTATTTAATGTCAGTTTATATTGAGCAAATCAAGTTTACAGCAACGCCTGTTCAGCTATTTAACGTCACGTTTAGAGCAAATCAGGGTTTACATACTTCTATATGTCCAGTTATCTAATGTCACGTTTAGATTGAGTTTACAGCCTTCTACATGTTACAACTGGTAAAAACTAGGGAGGATGAAACGAATCTCTATACCAACTATACGGCATAACCGATGTTACAACTGGTAAAAACTAGAGACGATGAAACGAATCTCTATACCAACTATACGGCATAACCGATGTTACAACTGGTAAAAACTAGAGAAGATGAAACGAATCTCTATACCAACTATACGGCATAACCGATGTTACAACTGGTAAAAACTAGAGAGGATGAAACGAATCTCTATACCAACTATACGGCATAACCGATGTTACAACTGGTAAAAACTAGAGAGGATGAAACGAATCTCTATACCAACTATACGGCATAACCGATGTTACAACTGGTAAAAACTAGAGAGGATGAAACGAATCTCTATACCAACTATACGGCATAACCGCGAAACAGGCAAGACTGTGAAATACACTCCTTGTTCTAAACATGATTTAAACCTGGGAGATGATCTGGACGAAATAGCTGTTATAAGCAACGCTGCGCCAGAAAACGTCAAGTATGGTACCGGATCTCTGACCGCCAACGGGCCACGAGTGGTGCCGGGAATTATAACGTCTACCGGGATGGAACACTCTCGTCTCGTTAATGAGAAAAGAAGTTCGAGTAGCACTCGTCTCCCGATATCATCACCTCTCTACACCACAAAATCATTTGAAAATTTAAAATCAAAATCTGCTTCAAGGCAAAGCCTGCTGGAAACAGCGAGCAGCAAACTGCACGGTAGAGACCATAAGCAGCGATCACGAGAATCTATAACCTTTAGCCACAAAACACACATGGGGTCAGAATTGGAGATTTCTCGAAAAGTAAGAGAGCATCGACGGAAAGAAATCAAGCGAGAATTTGAAAAATGGGAAACGTCTACTTCAAGTAGCGAAAAGGATGGCTGTAACTGGACGTTTGTTTTTGATCCATCAGGCAGTTTGTCCTATTATTGGTCAATGATTGTAAGTGTTGCTTTTCTCTATAATTTCTGGGTAGTGATCTTTCGGTTTGCCTTTAATGAAATAAAAGCGAATACCATTGTGGCCTGGTTAACTTTAGATTATTTTGCAGACATTCTGTATGCTTTAGACATTGTTTTTCATTTTCGTACCGGATATCTGGAAGAAGGAGTGCTACAGACCGACACAATTAAGCTTCGCCATCATTATATGAATTCAACTCTATTTTATATTGATTGTTTATGTCTCTTGCCTATCGATTTCCTTTATCTTTCCATTGGATTTAACTCAATTCTTCGCTGTCTTCGACTGGTAAAAATTTATAGGTTTTGGACATTTTTGGATCGAACTGAGCGACATACAAACTACCCAAATGTCTTTCGTACGGTGATTCTGACTCATTATGTTCTCGTAATCTTCCACTGGAACGCCTGTCTATTTCATATAATATCAGTAAATGGAGGATTCGGTACACGCAGCTGGTTTAACCCTCGCGATGAAACCTGCAATGATGTAGTATGTGAATACCTTCGTTCTTTTTATTGGAGTACCTTAGCACTGACCACCATTGGAGATCTGCCAAGTCCCCGAACTAAAGGAGAATACCTCTTCCTCGTCGTTGAGCTAGTCTTTGGGCTGTTCCTCTTTGCTGCTGTGTTGGGCCATGTGGCTAACATTGTCACCAACGTGAGCACAGCAAGGAAAGAATTTCAAGGTAAGAAAAATACGAACTTTATATTGTTTTTCTAAATATCTATATTCTCACGAATAATATGTATATTCTCACTGTTTATTCTTGTCTTTTAAACCCTCGCTCGAGGAGACTTTAGAAGGTTCAGTTACGCAATGAAAATAATTGTTTAAAAGGTATTGATTATGTTTACGTTTTATTACGTGTTTCTGTTATAATACATTGGAAAAAATATAAAATAATATTAGACATCACACATTGCACTCGTTAATCATATCATATACTACATAGAAATTTAGCCCACAAAACGAACCACGCGAGGGACACAGGAAAATGCCAAATGCTTCAACGGTGAATCATCCTTTTAAATATTATCAACTTGTATGCGTGCAATGCCTGAATTATAAACTTTCAGCTTTAACTAAAATGACCGAGAAATGACTTTTTCTGTATCATAAGACACCAATGTAATATAAAAGAAACACACCTAGTCAACAGCGGGTCTACGAAATTTGATAAGTATTACTTTACGTATGTATCGTTATATTATAAGAAAACATTGTTCAAGGCATGATTTTTCATGACATCTTAGTCATAACAACGTATTTTATTAAAATATCACTTTGATTATACCTCTTGTTTTATTGCAAGAGTAAAATTTAGGATAAATTATACTAAAGCTTTGTTCATTGTTAAGTCAATTTGATATTTAACGAAACAAGAGTAAAATTCAAAATAAAATATACTAAAGCTTTGTTCATTGTTTGATATTTAACGAAACAATAGTAAAATTTACAATAAAATATACTAAAGCTTTGTTCATTGTTTGATATTTAACGAAACAATATTAAAATTTACAATAAAATATACTAAACCTTTGTTCATTGTTAAGTCAGTTTGGTATTTAACGAAAAACAACAACTCGATATGTTTTGTTCAGTTCACTGTGAGTGAGAGAATGTGAGTGTGCCTTAAAATACTCAGCTTAAAGTAAAATGTTTTGTTTTTTTACATTATCGTGCTTTAGGTAAAACACGCGAATATCCTTGTCGCCTCTTTAATTATCTTAGTCCATGAACATGGTGATTTATGTAATATAAATCAAAATAGTTTAAGTGTAATAGTGTTCACTGACACTGAAAGCAAACCATTATTAAATTCTAGGTACTTGTAAATTATTTCGTTCCATTTTAGAAGCTACATGTAGCTAATAATACAAATAGACTTGAATTCTGTGCATTTGCAGAAATAGCCAAAATGTCATTCTAAACAAATTAATCTGTTCATTTTCTGTTTAGTTTCACTGGTGAATATGTTAATAGCTCAATTATGAACAGCTGAGAGACCTAGGTTTTATTTGAGATGTTGGACCAATAACGC